ACTTTGGAGCTAAAATTCGTTAACCAAACCTAAAATATGGAAAAAATGAACAAAAAATACCTTTTGGAAGGTTGCGAGCCCAACTGCCAATTGGGAACAAAGCAAACGAAAAAGGGTTGTACATTTGGTACCTGATCGCGATCCCAATTCCCAATGGGAATTGGGCTCGCAACCTTCGAAAAGGTATTTTTTGTTAATTTTTTCCATATTTTAGGTTTGGTTAACGAATTTTAGCTCCAAAGTCTCTCCATAGATTTTAATGAGCGATACCTTGAACGACGCCAAATTAATGCACCTATACACAAAAAAATAGAGGACATATGATATAATTTTTTTTTGCTTTTCCTGAGTTTTTAAAGTCAAAATTTCGTAAAAAATACCGCACAAAAATCATCATTTTTGCATTTCAATTCTTTATATTTCCCAGACGGTAAGCTGTAATCACAAAGTTTGTGGGCTTAACTTCTAGCTGTTTTAATTATCTTTTCAAAATAGCAAAGTTCTTTACAACCAGACGTAAGATAATAGAACTATGTGAAAAAAACAAGCGCTACCTCTGAAAAAAGCTTAAAAAAAAATACCAGTTTTCAAAAATTCTTCAAAAAAAAGTTCTGCCATAGAAAAAAAAAAATATCATCAAACCATTTGTAAGCCCCAAATCTTTAAGAAAAAGTTGGTTTTGTTCCTTGAGGAAAAATCGTGTTGACTAGTGTTATACTTGATGCGAAGAAATTTTCTGTAATCCAAGAATAATCCGAAAGTCGGGGGGGTTCAGTTGAGTACTAGCCAATAACTATTTATTCGGTTTCCAAGTGCATGAGCACTGAGCATAAGCGGGCTTCTAATGTGGTGAATTCAATTACAAATTTAATGCAAGAGCTTAAAAAAGAGAGTAAGAATGAGCGTAAGGTACTACAACGCGAGGGTCATTTAAGTGATTATTATATTATATTATGAAATTAAGAGTTGGACTGAATAAACAGTAAACAATAATGGTCCAAAGATAGATCCTTGCGGAACTCCTTTCGTAGGGGACAGAGATGACGAGTACCCGAATTTCGTGACTACAGATTGTAATCGATTTGTCAAGTATGAATGAATTAGTTCGGTTGCGGTGCTGTCCAGTCCATATAGTCTTTGAATTTTTGTACACAGAACCTCGTGATTGACGGTATCGAATGCTTTGCTATAGTCTAATAATGTCAAGAATGCCACTTGTCCTTCATCCATTTTTTTTACGGATGTCTTTAAGACTTTGACTTTAAGAATTACAGAAGTACTACTTCTGTTTTTCCTAAACCCCGATTGTTTTTCATTAAGCAGTTTATTACTTGCCATATAGTTACTAAGTTGGGTTGAGAGCAATCGTTCAAGAACTTTTGAAAGAAAAGGCAAAATGGCAATCGGTCCCTGAGACTGGGAATACTGCCGAAGTGGGTATCCAACTCAGCTATCCTGGCCTGTACTTCCTTGGAGTGGCCGCCACGTGAAATGAATCCCGCGATCCGGCTGCGGAGCTCATCCACTGTTCCGGTAGATTCGAGTCCGAATTCCTGGGCCAATCCTTGTAGCTCGCCCTTACGGCGGTACTGGGAAATCGATGGCTCTGGCACTAATGCACGGTACCGCACAGGGTCCTCGGTGATCTTAGCCCGGATACACGGGACTGCACCGGGGCTGGTGTCCTTAGCACGGATACGCGCGTTACCAATCGGTTGGTTCTGCGGAAAGTTGGGCGGCGCAATTATAGGCGAATGATACTGTGGAAGGATACTTGGCTGCGCACGGGGTACTTATGTTCCTTGGTAAGGATTCGCAGCGAAGTACGAAGTACTAAGTGAAGGATCCTGCGGAAGGATACCTGTGGTTTGGCACAAAGGATTACGAGGAGTGTAGTTGTTTCAAAGTGTTCCCGTTCGCGGATAGAATTTTCATGTGTCTATGATGGAGGCTGGAGCTTGATTGATCCCTTTTCGAGATTGGGCTCCGCCTTATATTGGCCGTCAGTCGGGTTTCGGGGCAGAGGGCTCTGCGACCCGCGCTGCTCCACCCGATTGTGGCTCTCTGCTGTGCTCGGCTCCCTCTGGTGTCGTTGTTGTCGCCGTGTAGCCGCTGCCCCCATTCGGGTTCTTGACGCTCTCTCCTTGTCACCGTGTCGCTGCTGCTGATATTTCGATTGCGGCTGTACGCCGCTGTTGCTCTGCTCCTGGGCGTCCGACGCTTCGGCCGCTCTTTTCTTGTCGTCGTGTCGCTGCTACTGATCTCGCGGTTGCGGCTGTACTTGTCGATGCTCCAAAAACGCGGTCACGTTTCTGCCGATTCCGGCGGCGTCACTTGCCGTCTCTTTCTATCCCAGGTACAAGCAAACACGTTGTTGCCGATTTTCAGGCACGTGGCCAGCACGGGGCGATGCGACGGAAAACAATGCGGAGGCGCGGGATGGCAGAACTTTTATTTTAAGAATTTTTGAATTCTGGTATTTTTTTGTAAAGCTTTTTTCGGAGGTAGGTTTTTGTTTTCACTAAACTCTAGTGTCTTACATCTGGTTGTAAAGAACTTTGCTATTTTGATAATTAAAACAGCTAAAAGTTGAGCCCAAACACTTGGTGATTTCAGCTTACCGTCTGGGAAATATAAAGCATTTAAATGCAAAAATTATGAATTTTGTGCTCTATTTTTGTAGTCCCTTAATTAGGCGTCGTTTAAGGTATTGCTCATTAAAATGGAGAAACTGTGGAACTAAAATTCCTTAACAAGACCTACAAAATTTAAAAAATGAACTAAAAATACCTTTTGGAAGGTTGCGGGCCCAACTGCCAATTGGGAACAAAGCAAACGAAAAAGGGTTGAGCATTTGGTACCTGATCGCGTTCCTTTGGTATGAAATACATAATGGAAACCAAAAGCCGTCTGTTCCTATTGCCTAACCTGTTAATATGAAGGAAACATATCAAACAATGGCTTAAAACATTTGTTAAAGCACTGGACAAGGAAGGCGAATCAATGCTTTACCTAAAAGCTGTTTTTCCACGTATATCGCTGGCAAAAGTGAAAGAAAGAGTATTTGATGGTCCCCAAATCAGAAAACGACTAAACTGATGGATTTCCAAATATTTTATCAAAGAATGAAAAAGAAGCTTGGCACTCATTCCGAATGGTAGTAACAAACTTTCTTGGAAACAGCAAGTCTGATGATTATGTAAATATCGTCCAAGAGCTAATTAAGAATTATACAAAAAAAGTCCACTTCCCCCACTTGGAATTTTTCCGACAAACCTAGGCGACGTAAGTGATGAACGCGAAGAGAGATTTCATCAAAAATTAAAATCTATGGAACAACGTTCCAAGGTGGTTTGAATGAGAACATGATGGACGACTATGTGTGGAATCTCATAAGAGAATCTGGTTCGAATGAAAAAGGAAGACAGCCAGAAAACTTTAATTATTTTTAAAAATGTTAACAAGCATTAGAAAACCAAATGTATCACTTATGTTTAAAAACTTGTAGCAATATAACACCAATTAAAAAAGTTTGTATATCCTTAGAATTGACTGAAAAGACTAAAAATGACTGATTTATGTATGGGTTAAGGAATGAAATCCCATATCTCAGGTATTTCTACTTTGGTTTTATTTAAATATGATTAGGTAGACGCGACAATATATAATTTGTGGGGACCTGCACTTGTGAGAATATAAAGGAAACATTTGACCTGAACAGGTATCCTACCTCAGGTTGGAGACAGCGAAAACAGTAACTGTCAACAAAATTGCATACCAAAGGAATGCGAACAGGTACCAGGCATAACTAGCAGACCCGCACGCTTTGCTGCTTCTTAAATGCATTTAATGTTTAGGAATTCATCGATATTAAATATTGATAACACTACCCGACGCGATTTTTCCTCAAGGAACAAAACCAACGTTCTCTTAAAGATTTGGGGCTTAGAAATGGTTTGATGATATGTGGTTTGATATTTTTGTTCTATAGCAAAACTTTTTTTAAAGAATTTTTGAAAACTGGTATTTTTTCAAAGCTTTTTTTTATACCCGCTTTTAAAAAAGAGTTAAGGGATATATTGTTTTTGTGGTAAAAGTGAATGTGTGTAACGCAGAGAAGGAAACGTTTCCGACCCCATAAAGTATATATGTATATTTTTAATCAGCATCAATAGCCGAGTGTAGTGAACCCATGCATGTACATATGTAACACTCTGTTATATATATATATATGAGCAGTGACATAAAGAACTTATGTTTATGTTACGCATTCCTTTTGCACAGCAACGATCTACGACTTGAACGCAGATCGGTCAGCTACCAAAACTTTTATTCGAAACTTTTATTCGAACTCAGACAGAACCCAAACGCCCTAACACTGAGGCGATGGGTCTCCCTCTCAAAAGCCCCTTAACGCTGTTCATGCATTTCCATTAGACTCAGGTAGAAACCACGCGCACTAATACTTATGCGGTGGTACTTTTTTCATATAATGCGTGGGAGCACTCTCGCTTTCCGTTATACATAAGAACGATTGTACCCTAGGATAAGAACCAAAAGATATTCAATAAACATTCTGAATTAAGCCACCAAGCTGAGCGGTATTGTTTCGCTAAGTATTTGTAACTTCGACACTGCTCGATCAAAACAAATTAATTATTTTAACATCTTAATCAAATCATATTAATGGCTGTGGCCATGCCAATGGAACAGTTAAATTGTGTGATTGCATCATTGTGTTCCGTGCTATGGTGTTACTACTGCATAAATACAATGATGAATAACTGGCCCCAAAATAATGGACCCACCAAACAATAAATTCAAAAGAGGAGAAAAAAAAGGAACGAGCACTGAACAACAAGGACAGCAACGGCAAAGAAATATCTGAAGCCATACCAAAACAACAAAAGAAGTGCCCTGGAGACTGCCAAGTTCCACTTTACAGCCCGACGTGCAACAACACTTGCATATGGGTGTTGCCAAAACGGAAAGAGTGTTACATTCGGCTTGCGGCTCGTGGGGCAACGCCGGCTAGCTCTCGACCCCAGGGATGGGTAGTTCCCCTTGCCCGCCAAATGTAAGCAAAGTTTGAGATTTCGACCTCTCGGGACATCAATTCAGACAATAAAACTACCATAGACTGCAAGAAAAACAAAAAGAACCAAACAAATAGACGGCTTTCAAGTGGGTGAAGTCTAGGTGTTTCCACTTCGCGCGCCCACCCTACCTGTGGTCAAATACAACGTTCATTTTGGCCACCCTCTGCTGGAACGGCTGCGGCTGGTCTAATCCATGGCTTACGCCACGCGTCCTCCCTCTAAATTAATTTAGGCCTTCATCCTTTCAATATTCCTTAGTTTAATATATAATATAATACGACAAATACATCTCCTAACTATAATTTTTCTTCCTAGATAATAAACAATAATAATTTAAATAAATAACATAATAACAAAAAAAATACCAACTCACTTAACGACAGCACTCAAATAAATACCAACTGGATTAGGAGAATATACCTATGTGCGTAATGGGCGTTTTTATGCAGAATTAAATTGGGAAATGATTTACATTTCTTTGGGCCCTCGCGAGACTAACCTACCAAGAGCTCTTGTTAAGGGTCATAGGGGCAGATATAAACAAGGCCATCGACAACAAAAATGACCAAACAATATTTCACCAAAACGGTGGGCTTGTGGGACCCCGCGCACTAGGGTTAATCCTACCATATGTTTCGTTTTGTGTCTATGTCGGGCAATGTTTGGCGTTTCACAAATCGGGTTTGTTTACGTTACGGTTCACTTAAACTATTAATAATAAATAACAATTAACACATATAATATGGACAACACGATGGACAATACTAATACTGTCGGGCACATATGTGTCCGTAGCGGCTTGCGAGTGAGAATAGTGATCCCAAGAAAATATATAAACGGTGGGCGATCGTGAGTGCAATGAACTTTGCGTGCAAATGTGAACGTGTAGTGTGTAAATGCGAGTGTAATCGTGAGTGCAAATCCTTAGGTGATCGTAGAGGTGGCTCCGGCAGAGTCCACAGGCTCGGACTACGTGCACCACTGCGTCTGCGGCACGGTCCTTGGTCACTCTACTGGGATCAGTTCCTTTGTCTGGTTATGCCAGCACCCCCCACAAATCTCGGCTCCATCCACGGTACACGCACAACAGACACGGAACGGACTCACAGTTAGATTTCGAAGGTTGGCTCGTCGGGCACACTGCGGTCGATCCTCTCCAGAATTTCTCTCCCTCAGGTAAAATCACTGACCCGGCTGCGCTGGGCAATCTTCCGGGCCAGGCTAGGGGAAACACACCGCGGGTTAATTTCCGTTTAAATGTAAAATTTTCACCACTCACTTTTTGAAAATTCCACTAATCGGGTTTAACCCCACTCGGCCTAGATTCTCGCTCTGCTATAAATAAGTGCCTCCGCTTCGGATGACCAGCAATTCTTATGTCCACGTTTTAGATTTTTTTCACTCCTATTTAATCCCTCTCACGCATGCCTGCCTTTACCAATACACCTAACTAATCTTATCCTCTTCCTTCTTTTCTTCAGTAACGGAATCTCGCTCTCACCGATACTGTCCTACACCATAGTCTCCTTGGAAAACCGATAGATGGCGCTTCGACTCAGCCCTGGACAATCTATCGCTGAGGTGGGACTGGAACACCACCACGAGTATGTCGACGGACCTTTGAAAGGACAACATACGCGTGGGCATGCCCACCGGATTAAGGATTACTCTCGACCACATGCCGGCGTGCCTTCTTCTGCAGCGCCCAACGTAGGCCACACCCACATCCAACTAGAGCCTCAAGTCTTTTGCGTGGTAGACTCCAATGGGACGACCGTTGAGATCCTCCAGAGCATATGCGTTCCCTCCTACTGGCTTCACTACACGGCATCGGACGAACTTGCGCGCGAACTTGGCATTGAAGCATTTACCGAAGTCGCTTAGGACAAAATTACGGCGGAATACCTCTTGTCCAGGCTTTGCATAAAACACCCGAGCTCTCTGGTTGTACCGCAAGCTACTACGTTCGTACGCGTGATGCAGACTATCTCGAATCCTCTCCTGAATGAGTTGTCGCTTGTCCTGACTCTCTAGCAGAGATATGCCATGCTCGCCGATGGAACGCAAACGTTTCGCCAGCTTATAGCATGACCCATGCAAATACATTTGCTGTCCGAAGACCGCAAAGAACGGAGTCACGCCTGTCGCCTCATGAACTGAGTTCCTTATGGCCAACTCTATCTCCGGAAGATGTACGTCCCAGTCCCGGTGATCGTCCTCCAAATACATACGAATCGCGCTGAGAACAGTACGATTCACACGTTCGGCTGCGTTGCTTTGTGGAGAATACACTGGCGTCCTCAAATGGGTCACTCCAAACGCTTCAATCATCTCCCTGAACGTTTTGGAGATGAACTGAGCCCCATTGTCTGAGTGAATAGTCTCCGGCACCCCAAACTTATAAAAGACTTCATGGACGAGAAACGTCACCACATCCTTCGCTGTGGCCGCTTTCATGGTCTTCAGGAAAGTGAATTTCGAGAAGTGGTCAACCACAATGAATATCCACGCTTGACCATTCTTTGAACGCGGATATTTCCCTAAGAAATCGATGTACAGCTTTTGGAATGGACGCTCCGTGATCACCTCCCTTCCAATCCCAACCTGCATCCGGTAATTCTGCGCTTTCGACTCCTTGCAAACGTCACAACGTCGGATGTAATCGCGCACTTCCACAGCCATTTTTGGCCAGTAAAATTGCCTACGCAGAAGGTGCAACGTTTTGGCAATACCACCGTGCGCCGTCTTTTCATCGAGATGCGCCTTGTCTATCAATGTGGCCGTCAGCGAACACGGAACCCACAATTTCCAGACAGATCCCTCCAGTTGGTCATCTAACCTTTCAAAGCGCATGCGCTTGAATATCATTCCATCTACAATCTGAAGATCAGGTAAGCGTTCTTGATTCTCTCTGACTTCTTTCTTTAACTCCTGATATTCCTCAGACTCGAACTCCACCGTTTCGAAACCCAGAACACAGCTCGGATCCACTTCCAACTCTTCGATATTGCGGGACAATGTATCTGCCACTACATTATCCACTCCTTTTCGGTGTTCTATGCCGAAATCGAAGGCTTGCAATTGAAGGGACCACCGAGCTAAACGACCATCCAAGTTCTTCATCGTCATGAGCCATTTGAGACTGGCGTGGTCAGTAATGACTGTGAATGGCATAAGCTCGACATACGGACGGAACTTCAGAATCGCCATGAGAGCTGCCAGACACTCTTTCTCTGTCACAGAGTAGTTTATCTGGTGACAATTTAGCTTCGCCGAGAAGAATGCAATCGGCCTCTCGTTCTGCTCATCATCGCGTTGGAAGAGTACGGCTCCTACCCCATAATGCGACGCGTCGCACTGGATGTAAAAGTGCCGCTTGAAATCTGCGTGTACGAGGACAGGTGCAGAGGTAAGTGCAGCTTTCAGCTCTCCCATTGCTCGCTTTGCCTCATCCGTCAATCTAAATCTACCTTTCCCCGACCTTTTCAAGGCATCTGTAAGTGGAACGGCTAACTCTGCAAAGTTCTTCATAAAACGCCGATACCAACCCGCAGTACCCAAGAAACTACGCAATTCTCGGACAGATCGTGGCTCGGGAATGCGTAAAATAGCCGATACACGATCTGGATCCATCTTGAGCGTTCCTCCTCCCACTATAAAACCGAGGTATTTAATGTTTTTAAAGCAAAAATGAGATTTCCCTAACCCTATCGTCAAATTTGCCTTCCTTAGTCGCTCTGCAACCTGTAGAAGGATCTTCACGTGCTGTTCGAAGCTCTCGGATATAATCAGCAAGTCGTCGAGGTATGCATATACATTTGAACGCATCTCTACCGGAATAACCTTATCCACTAATCTACATAGGCGTTGTGCAGCGTTGCAAAGACCGACGAGCCACTACAACACTACACTACGAATACTCTTGGGTCGTTTTTGCTACAGCGCTGTACTGAGGCAATCACCTGTCTCCTCACCGATCGTCTCTGCTTAAACCGGGATCTTGCCTTCTTTACCCGAACTGACAGTGCTCGCATCCCATCCACCTTTAAGTCGGAAAATATTCTATTACGGACTTCTAAGTAATTTCTTAACCGCTCTTCATACGGTAAGTTCCTTAACCTAGCATGCAAACTATGTCTATCTATTTCATTCTTCTTATGTTCTACTTCCAGTTCGCAGGCCCCATCTGTGAGCGTGTTTCGCCTGCTTGAATCGCGCTCTTCTTCGCGTTTCCCGCACAATTCGGACAGATCGGACAATATGCATCGGGCTTTCCACAGCGGTAGCAGAAGATTCGCCTCTCTGCTGCCATACAGTCCCGAAAACCATGATCCGTTTTCCCGCAGTTCCAGCAAGTCAACTTTACTGGACCCCACCTTGTCACTTGCGCCTCTTCACAGACTTCTGCCTCCTCATCGCTTCTCGACAGATCCTGCGCGACCTCACTGACGTTCGCTCCTCGGCCAAAGTTGGTGGCTTTTGGTGCTCCTCGCCACGAGGATCGGGACTTCCGCTTCAAGTGTGCCTCTATTTCCACACATTCATCGCGCAGTTGGTCTTAGGGAGGTACACTCGTAAGCCATACACAAAACTCGCTATCTCATCTGTGAGAGCCTTTTTCACAATCTTAATCATTTCGCTTTCAGGTGGTGGCGTCTCTACCCTCGAAGAAAGCTTCCTCATGGCATGAAAAAAATCTTCCACGCTCTCGTTTGGCCGTTGCATCCGTTCCCGCAGTTCTCTCATTCGGTCAAACTCGGAAGCTGTGCCTCGGAAACGTGCAACCAAATCATCCCTCAACTCCTGCCAGTTACCACCACGATGATCCCGTACGTATTGCCAATACCATTCCCGAGCGTTTCCCGTAAGCAGATGATGTAACCCCTTCATCACCTCATCCCAGGGACACCGCATTTGCGCTGCAGGAATTCGACTCGGAACACGAAATCCTCTACGGTCACCTTATTGGCGTCGCCATCGAAAGTCACGTCCCACTTCTCGACTCGGCCCCACCGAGGCCACGATCGGTAATGGGACGACTGTGGATGCTGCTCCTCACGTGGGCTGCTGGTTGTTCTCCCACCGGATCTTCTATTCCCGCTACGACCCGTACCTTGCTGTCTCGTTATCGGGTTTAGCCAATTTTGAGCCCGATGATCACCCCGTCGATGCTGGTCTGCAGATGCCGTCGCCCCTACTCCTGAAGACGGCTCCGGACCATTCCCATCGTGCCCCGACCGTGACAAACGTGGTTTTGGTGGCGGTATGGCCGCTTCAGTCGAACTCGACGGCTTCCTCTTCGGTATGGCTCCTCGCTGCCCTTGCTCGGTGTTGTCCTCTTCCCATTGCGGTACTGTCAGCTGTGATGGCTGCTGTCTCATCGGCTGGAGTATCTCATTGAGTTCACGCATCATCCCCATGAATCCCATGCGTAACTCCTCCTGCAACACCCGACTTATAGAATCAGCCTGCGCTGCTCTATTTGTCGCTCCCGCCTGAGCCATCGCTACATTCGCTGCTGATGCCAATTCAGAAGGAAGGAATGGTGTATTCGGCCAATCTTCTGCCCTGTGCCCACAGCTCCCAGATCACTACGATCTTGGTCGGCCATCGCCCCGGACACTTCTCCTAACGATCCCTGTCTTTCGTGTGCTCGAGATCGCGTCGGATATGGCCGACTTCCTACTGCTTTTGGCATTCCCACCAAAGGACCACAAAGACCACGATTATAACAATCTAAACGAAACTAACTATATATAACTAAATAAATAAATACCCAAATAAATAACAAGCAAAATAAATAACCCCTCTGACAACAAAAAAATCACGTAAATAAATAAATAATTACTTAATAAATATACCGCCAAATAGGCATATCCATTTACCCAATAAATACTTGAATAAATAAATAACTAGAATATATATCGATCGACACCTAACCAAAATTCAAAACATATATTCTCGAACAAACACACAACCCAACAAAATAACCTTCAATTCTTTTCTTCACAGAATAGTTATTTTTAGAGGAGGACACTTGACTAGCCGGGACCAACAACCGCTCCAGTTTCTGCGCTCCACTTGACAGTCGTCCTACGGATACACTACATTCACAAAACACCCCTTTTGTGCGACTTGTCGCCTACACTAGTCATCACTTTGAGTGATGGCCGATAAGCGAGAAGCCTCACGGTGCACCAGTTCAACTTTCTTGTGCCTTGTCCCCGCCATCCATCCTACCGATTTGCCGTGACAGCCGATGCATCGCGGACTGTCTTTACAACACCCGGGCCACCGACTCCTCACAACATCTCGGCGGACAGACAACCAAACCAAAACACGAAAGCGACTATCTACTAACAAACAGGTGAGAAACTAACTTGAACATTTACCTACATGACTTACTCTATCTTATCCCATATCACATTCTATCACAGATTTATTCGATATCACAACCACCAGGCAATGTGTCCGTCGCAAACTACCAGTTCCTTCGTGGAACAGCAGTGACTTACGTCCACTAGCGACATCGAACTGTGGCGAAACGCAACATGAAACTCGTAAGTCCTCTCACTACAGCTTTTCTACCTAACTACATCTATCTCTCCCTAGCTTTGGCCACTCCGCGCCATTAAGGGTCAGCTTTGCGCTCCCTTAAGCCTGCAGCAGCGACTTTTGCCGGGACAGCTAAACTGCATTTCGCGAGCCGTCGTCTTCTCTACAAAAAATTTTATTTTTATTTATTTTTTCCAATGCATTCCCCTCTACACGTCCAGGAGTCATTTGTTAGAATGACACCTGGAGTTGCGTCAGTCCAAATGCATTGGAACAATAAATCCATTGGGCGCCATTTGTTACATTCGGCTTGCGGCTCGTGGGGCAACGCCGGCTAGCTCTCGACCCCAGGGATGGGTAGTTCCCCTTGCCCGCCAAATGTAAGCAAAGTTTGAGATTTCGACTTCTCGGGACATCAATTCAGACAATAAAACTACCATAGACTGCAAGACAAACAAAAAGAACCAAACAAATAGACGGTTGTCAAGTGGGTGAAGTCTAGGTGTTTCCACTTCGCGCGCCCACCCTACCTGTGGTCAATTACAACGTTCATTTTGGCCACCCTCTGCTGGAACGGCTGCGGCTGGTCTAATCCATGGCTTACGCCACGCGTCCTCCCCTAAATTAATTTAGGCCTTCATCCTTTCAATATTCCTTAGTTTAATATATAATATAATACGACAAATACATCTCCTAACTATAATTTTTCTTCCTAGATAATAAACAATAATAATTTAAATAAATAACATAATAACAAAAAAAATACCAACTCACTTAACGACAGCACTCAAATAAATACCAACTGGATTAGGAGAATATACCTATGTGCGTAATGGGCGTTTTTATGCAGAATTAAATTGGGAAATGATTTACATTTCTTTGGGCCCTCCCGAGACTAACCTACCAAGAGCTCTTGTTAAGGGTCATAGGGGCAGATATAAACAAGGCCATCGACAACAAAAATGACCAAACAATATTTCACCAAAACGGTGGGCTTGTGGGACCCCGCGCCGCGCACTATGGTTAATCCTACCATATGTTTATACCCGTACTCAAAAAAGAGTTAAGGGGTATATTAGATTTGTGGTAAAAGTGGATGTGTGCAACGCAGAGAAGGAAACGTTTCCGACCCCATAAAGTATATATATTCTTGATCAGCATCAATAGCCGAGTCTATATAGCCATGTCCGTCTGTCCGTCCGTCTGTCCGTCTTGATGAGCGCCTGGATCTCAGAGACTATAAGAGCTAGAGAAACCAAATTTGGTTTCCAGACTCATGTGATATCACACTGCTACAAGTGTATTTCAAAATTACGCCCCGCCCCCTTCCGCCCACACAAAGGACGAAAATCTGTGGAAGGCACAGTTTTAAAGATACGATAAAACTAAAAACTAAAACTAAAACGATAAAACGCAGTATCGTAGAAAATGCCCATATCTACCAGATTGCCGAATCTGAATCAGATCGGATCATAATTACAGCCAGAATGAAGAAATTAATTTTCAGTTGGTTCCCCTCCCCCTCCCGCCAACGACAACGCATCTCATTTTCATTCTCGCTCGCACATTCTGCCGCGTTCAGTGCGCGAGCAACCCCTAGCGGAGGAGATGTAGAATCTAATTGGAACATGTAAAATCTACATGTTAGATGTAGAATATACATTGTATATGTAGATGTAGATATCATATGTAGCAAAAAAATGTAATATGTAAAATTTTTTTTTTTTTCTAAAATTCTTAAAAATCATAAGCTCAAAAATGTATATACTGACTGAGTACGGGTATAAGTAAAGTCGCGTCCCCAGAAGCGACTCACACGTTCCTTCTCGTTTGTTTTGTGTCTATGTCGGGCAATGTTTGGCGTTTCACAAATCGGGTTTGTTTACGTTACGGTTCACTTAAACTATTAATAATAAATAACAATTAACACATATAATATGGACAACACGATGGACAATACTAATACTGTCGGGCACATATGTGTCCGTAGCGGCTTGCGAGTGAGAATAGTGATCCCAAGAAAATATATAAACGGTGGGCGATCGTGAGTGCAATGAACTTTGCGTGCAAATGTGAACGTGTAGTGTGTAAATGCGAGTGTAATCGTGAGTGCAAATCCTTAGGTGATCGTAGAGGTGGCTCCGGCAGAGTCCACAGGCTCGGACTACGTGCACCACTGCGTCTGCGGCACGGTCCTTGGTCACTCTACTGGGATCAGTTCCTTTGTCTGGTTATGCCAGCACCCCCCACAAATCTCGGCTCCATCCACGGTACACGCACAACAGACACGGAACGGACTCACAGTTAGATTTCGAAGGTTGGCTCGTCGGGCACACTGCGGTCGATCCTCTCCAGAATTTCTCTCCCTTAGGTAAAATCACTGACCCGGCTGCGCTGGGCAATCTTCCGGGCCAGGCTAGGGGAAACACACCGCGGGCTAATTTCCGTTTAAATGTAAAATTTTCACCACTCACTTTTTGAAAATTCCACTAATCGGGTTTAAACCCACTCGGCCTAGATTCTCGCTCTGCTATAAATTAGTGCCTCCGCTTCGGATAACCAGCAATTCTTATGTCCACGTTTTAGATTTTTTTCACTCCTATTTAATCCCTCTCACGCATGCCTGCCTTTACCAATACACCTAACTAATCTTATCCTCTTCCTTCTTTTTTTTTTCAGTAACGGAATCTCGCTCTCACCGATACTGTCCTACACCATAGTCTCCTTGGAAAACCGATAGATGGCGCTTCGACTCAGCCCTGGACAATCTATCGCTGAGGTGGGACTGGAACAAGAGATGACCAGCGCCGACACCCCATCAGCCTGCGAGATGACCAGCTCCAGCACCCAATCCAACTAGCCTGTGCGAAGACACTACACCGGCACCGCCAGCGCAACAAGTTGGGCCACGGACCGAAAGCGTTACAGAGAACGCCCATCACAATAATATTAAATACTATTAAAACAATACAAATAAATTTAATTTTTGTAATACCCGACGACAATTGAGTCGACCGGCAAAATAGATTGGCCTGTAAAGCCATTCGCCTATTAGGTAGGAAACAAATGTAATTATAATTGATATAATAATATATCACATTTTAAAAACAATATTTGAATTACAAGAAAAACCCAAAAATTTAATAATCATAGAAAAAACAGAATCTAAGATTGAAAACTTCAATAAACTTGAAATAGTAGATCACACAGAAGACATAGGTTCACTGTGGACACTATTACTAATAATAATTATTTTGCTATCCACAATGCTTTTGCTAAAATTGTATGCAATGCACAATAAGATATTAAAGAAAAAGTACGCAACAACCACTTTATAAACACAAATATAGATAAAAAAAAAAAAATTAAATAAAATTATTTCAAAATATCCGAATGTCTATGGAAAATGATTGGATACCGATAACAAAAGCAATTGTAAGAATTAGAGCAGAATTTGATAGATCTTTTAAATGTTTAAATAAAAATGTGCATATCACAATACAAACTATAATAAAGCATACAGAAATACTTATTGCACAATATAATAAAATAGTACTTATCTATTAAAATTGCCAAGAAAGACTTTCAGATGTACATGAAACCCAAATTATAGAAGTATTAGCAAACCTACAAGATAAACTTATTAAAACAGTACAATACATTGTAATATAAGTGATTTTGTTGGTTTAGTCGGAATTGCCCGTATGGCCAGGCAACTGCGAAATGTTCTTTATTTGTATAGTAAACGTTATGTTCTTTATATATGTTCTTTTATATGCTCTTTATAGCTTAGTAGCTAAGGCTAGGGCTGCCCGAAAGGCCAGGCAGCTTCTGTCCCGGTCCATGAAGGGCATGGCCTTTTTATGCTAATTGGAATGGTCAGTGCTTCAGGTTTGACATCGCGTCATCATCTTCGGCTTGTCATAAGCACAGATATGCATACGTATATACGTATGCATGTGCACACATAGCGGCAGCGCAGCGCCGACGAAGCGACGACACTAACTTTGGCACGATCGGTCTATGCTTGCCGTTTATGTTTATACAAATGTTTTGTTAATCTATTTGGTAGTTCTTATGAGTGGCTGCTTATACTACACCTCCCTTTTTAAGAAGAATAATGTAATTATTCTTTAAGTCTGGGAATGTTATTCTTTTGTTTTATACATATATACATATATCTAAATTTATTTATTTAAAATATTTTATCTATTTTGGAATTTTTTTTTTTTTTTTTATATATATTTTTTTCTTAATCCTTATAGGCTAATTTTAATCGATTTTTGTGTACTATTATTTTCTGTTTGTTATTTTCTAATGTAAAATTATGTGTTTCGTCTATGTTTATTACTTTATAGGGCCCTTTATAAGTGTTGTCTAACTTATGTCCTGTTTCGTTTTTGACCAAAACTATATCTCCTAAGTTAATTTCAATACTATTTATATGTTTGTCATAGTTGTCTTTCTGTTTATCTTTTGCTTTTCTTATAAGCAAGTTTGCTCACTTATGGGCTATTTGAAGTCTATATCTAACCTCTTTGTCGTAAGCTTCATAATTATATAGCGGACTTACTATATTAGTTTGTAGAAATGTGTAGTTTGGTGAATTTTTTGCGAATACCAGTTCGAAAGGACAGTAACCATGCACTGTTGATGGAGTTGTATTATAACAATAATTGAAATATTTTAACCATGTGTCCCAGTCATCTTTTTCTGTTGATATGTATGTTCTAACGTATTCATTGAAGCTTCTATGTGACCTCTCTACTGCACCCACAGTTTGGTGATG